CATCTTGCAAGAGTCCTTGGGTGGTAATGCGCGTACCACCATGGTTATATGTTGTTCTCCCGCAGCATTTAACGAGGCTGAAACAAAATCTACTTTGATGTTCGGAATGCGAGCAAAGACTATTAAAAATATGGTGACTGTAAATGAAGAGCTGACTGCAGATGAATGGCGCCGCAGATACGAAAAGGAAAAGGCAAAAGTAAATCGACTTAGAGTTGTAATAAACAAACTAGAAGCAGAAATTAAAAAATGGCGTGCAGGTTAGTTTTATCGCATCCTTGATGTTGATATGTGTGGACTTTTACGTCTAATAAATTTACTTGTACCTAGTACATAGCACATTTATATCAACGATATGTCACCCGATTATTGAAATTTCCGGTTAATTAATCATGTTTGGGCTTTTAGGCGAGAGCGTTATCCAATCAGAATGGTTTACGGAAGCCCATTACTCAACTGCAGTCGAGGAGGAACAAGGAACAGCCACTCATGCTCCGTCCCTACGTCTCGCACCTTCTTCCACTGGTTCTCCTTTGCTTTCACGACCGTCGACAACATCCATTGAAGGATTCACTCATTCAGATTGTGAGGCTATATTTTTGTTACCAATTTTATCTAATACATCGAAAATTTTTACATAGATTTATTTTTTTGTCTTTTCACATAATTTGATTTATGAATGTACTTTAAAATGCATAAAAGCATTCTTAGTGTTTTTGCATTCTCTTCAGTTTATTGTAATCACGCTTTTCTTTTCTACATTGTCCCCACTCCCAGCATTCTTATTTACCTTTGCTCGACCCAGCTCGTAATAGTAGTCACAATGAGGCCGCTACTCATCCATTTTTTATGCTCGCTCTGATTCTTTTTTCTCCACCTTGGAAAATTGATGCTTTTTATTATTCATCTTGTTTTTGGCCTCATGATACGCAATTTTTTAATTATTATGTGTAATGACTCTTAAATTTTTATTTGACAAGTTCTAAACTTTGTCAATTGCTGCTTGATCGACACAAGATAAATTCACATCATA